CCAAACGGTGCAAACGTAAACAAAACAGATTCAAACACTTCATGGAAAAGGGTTAGTCCCTGACAGTGTCAGTGTCCTGCTCCTGCCAACGCTCTGGAAAAGTTGAGAGCTAGCTGTCTGTCTGTCTGCCCGCATGGATCCCGGCTCTCTTCCCCCTCCTTTGTTTACGTTCGTAACGCTTGCGCTTCCTTCACTCTCAGCTGGAAATTACATAAACAAGAGACATAAACAGTCAAACAGTTGTTATAATTTCTAACAGTCTTTCTGCATGCCTCCTGGGATTTTGTTCTACACCTCTTTTTGACGAGCTCCATGTCTTTGAGGTTGTAGTCTTTATTGCAGTCACTCTGGTCTTCAGTTCTCTCCACAGATTCTTAGTAGGATTCAGGTCTCAACTGGGCCCCTCCAGTTTGTTGATATTGTTATCTGTTAAACATTCTTCGACCTCTTTGACTAAATGTTTCAGATCAGATGTTTTGTTGGAAGGTCTGATGCTGCCCAAGGCCCAATGTTTCTGCAGACTACATGATGTTTTCCTGCAGTCTCAATGCAGTCCTCTTTTCTCATGATGCCTTTTACGTTAACAAGGTTACTTGTGCTATATGCCTGAAAAGCAACCTATAGTCAAGCATTCCCACCACCATGCTCAACCATGGGGATAGTGTTTTGGGGGTTGAAAACACTGTAACGCTATTGGGGGTTCATTCTTTCATCCTTGTGTCCAAGCAACTGTAATTTCATTTAATTTGACTGAAGAACGGATGACCAAAAGCTTTCTTGTTTGTCAGTTGAGCTTTTTACAGGGCTATGTGAGCTTTTGTGTGCCTGTCTTGGAGAAATAAGTCTTTCTTGGTCTGTGTTTATAGACACCAGCCTTGTTCAGTGCCTGATTGAGATGTTGCCACCAGAAGTGCTCCGATTTATCAAGATGGTCTCTATGATCTTCGATTCTTCTTGGCTTCTACCATTCTTTACAGCACAGGGGTCACTTTTGGCCTCCCACCATGTCCTTTGAGATTTTTCAGTTGGAAAGTCCTTGTACTTTTGATGATGCTTTGCACTGTGGCCACTGGAACTTGAAAACACTTTGACTTGCTTTTATATAGCCTTTTCCCAACTTGTGAGCAACCACAATGTTCAGCTCTCTCTCAGTGATGGACTCTAATCTCTTGATTTTAGCCATGACTTGCAGTCCACTAGTAGATGACTAAAGAACTATGCATCTGCTGTTCTCAGTTGACTGTGTTAGAATGATCTAAAACATGGGAGAGATCCAAGACCATTTGGAATGGTACAGAAGCTGCATTTTCTTTCCAAGGGTACATTTTGAACATGGTATTTTTGTTAAAATCTATTTTCAAAAAACTTAGAAATAGTTCAAATATATGATTAACATCTCAAACACAGTGTCTTACTGTCTTTTGTGGTCCAATTACAAATTTATGATCAAACCAAAAATTGGCAAAACTTTTCCTTAGGTAATTGCTTTAATTTCTCATAGCCAGAGTTCAGTCCACTACTGTATGAGCCTCCGTCCAATGCCCCCGGTAGTCCTACTCTAGATATTTTGAGGACCTTATCAAAAGGTCCTCAAAAATCTGGTTGATGATTAGAAAACTATCTTCTATCAGGGACTCTACCAGAGGTTGTTTCCATCAGGTCCACACACATCATAGAATGTGCCTTCACTGTCATGAGCACACAAGTCTCACAATAAGGGTGAAGGGCTCCGGTATCAGTGTTATTTACACCAATAAAATACATCATTACTAACTTTAAAAGCATTCTGAGCATTTCAACCAAAAGTAAACTAAAAAGTTGGTTCTTACTGGGAACCACAAAATATAATAAGTAAGAAGTGCAGTGTCATCAGTATTAAAAAGGAAAACAATGGAACCATTCATCTTGCACTGACTTGCTGTCCACGTTTGTACAATATCCATAAATTGCTTAATATAACTCTTTGGATTGTGGTAAATATTTGAAGTAAGATACGGAAAGCTTTCAGGTAAACAACAGGATCCACCATCGTTTTACCCGGACCTGCAGTTGTTATTCATGGCTGGTTCTTTAGGTGGTAAGCTGGTTCCACTGTTCAAAACTGTATGAGTTCAGGAGCCAGAGGTTTTCTGGTGGAAAAACAGTAGGTTAGAGGTAGAACCACTGTTGCTTTTGCTTTAGAAAGAAGCTAGCTGAAATGCTTTGTTAATCCTAAATGCCACCCTGTGGAGTTATTTAGATACACCCCACTGGGAAAAGACCACAGGACAAACATGCTGGGGGGAATATAAATCCCATCTGGCCAGGGGACACCTTGAAATCCCTCAGAAGGAGCTGTAGGAGACACCTGCCTACTCTGGATGCCTGCCTTTATTTTAACACAGTACTTTAACTTATAACCTTATCCTTTGTAGGTTTATAATTTTGCTTCAGGTGTACAATCTTTAAAAGTCTAAATAAAAGAAAGATGCTACTTATCCAACCAGCTCTTGCTTTTCGAGTTAAATAACAATCAGATTTTGCATTGAAATTTAAAATGTGCAATTTACCTGTTTAGTAAAAATGCTCTTACCTTCAGACAGGTTTAAATGTGAAACATCTGCCTCAGGTCTGCAGTGAGCCCATGCTTGTTGTATAGATCTTGTGTAGAGCTTAAATGCATACACACAAATAACAAAGCATGATGATTAGAAACCCTCTTAAGTCACTTTTTTTTTTCCCTTTTTCACCCAGTTATTTAAAGATGGCATAGACTTTAAGGAACTGAACTAAAGTAGCAACACACTCAGTTCTACTTCTGAATGATCCAACTGATCACTAAAATATGATCCTTGTCTTTATTTACTTTAGACACAGCTTCATTTTCAGAGTTTCTTTCATCAGACCCATCCAGTATCAAAAAAACATCAGATCTGTAGCTGAAATAGGATAGTTTTAATTGTTAAGTTCAGCTAGTTTTTTTGATCACTTAATTGTTTGGTTATTTAGAAAAAAAGAAAAAAACAAGAAAAATCACATTCATAATTTTGGCCAAAGTGATGTCCTAAAATGTACTGACCGACCTTTTAAGCAAGCATCAAAAACCCAGATGTATTCAATTTAGTTTGTTTGTTTGTTTGTTTTAAAGTTTTGCACCTTGAATGTTACTTTTGCTTAAATATGACTTTAATGATGAATCAGCTATCAAAATAGTTGCTCAATAATTTCAACGTGTCAGTCAAAACAGCCTATTGTAAAGTCAGTGCACAAAATGAAGCCAATGAAGCATAAATACCTGCCGTTACCTGCTAAACACTGTTCGCAGTAAGATCTAAAGACTAAAACTTTATAGCGAAAAGCATTTATTTTAAAAATAGCAAATCTTAATAATTCTGACACCAGGTAACTGTTTAAAAACAAGTAAAAGTACAAGTGAGTAAAAGGGAGTTCAAAATTTTGAATTGAAAAGGGGGGCCTCGAAAGACCCAAGCAAAGTGTTCAAGTCGAATGAACAGAATACACTCATAAGTAGCTATAACATAACCAGGACAGTCAAGGATTTAATGGAAATATCCTTTGTAAGTAAGTTCTTGTTCAGTGAGAAGTTTTCCCTTGAGGACACGGCACTGTTTAGGGTAGCATATAGTGATACCGCTGTTCCTGTTTGACATGCCAGAAGGTGTTGTGGTGTCATATTACCAGGCTGCAGGTTGCAGGAGAAAGCTGACACTTAGAGACGATATACACTTGTTGCTAATGAACAATGATGTGCTGTTGGGCTCAATTCAGGATGAAATCAAACCCTAGTTGATCTTTAAAGCTCCACTCTATTTATAGATCTTATTAATTTGTGATGTTCAGAGGTGCTCATGGGACCTCTCTGAACCATGAGTTAGAGACGTAGCAGTAGATATTTGTAGTATGCTATATATACACACTGTAAAGATTGATGACAAATGAATAACAATGATAAGGTCATAGTACGGTGTTGTTCCACTAAAGGCCTTCAGAGCAGCTTCAGTGCTGCTCATTGTAGATTCTGTCACCTGCTAAAACATTTCCCCTTATCTGGTATTTTGAGGATGTTGATGAGCTGAGTGTCCTATCTGCCACTTCTATTAATTTTTTTGGGATCTGGTGATCATAAAGACTGAACCTTTTTATTTATTTTATGTCAATTCTTTCCAGACCATTCAGCGAGTCCTCATGAGATGCAGATGCGGGGGAGCCTGGTCCTTACCATTATGCAAGCATCTGCGTCTTTGCTCTGTTTTTCATCACCAATCCACCACATTTCAAATACCTACCATGTTTAGCATTTGTGATAAACCCATCCCCTGCCAGTCTGAATGCCATGCACAGATATTTTGTAAAGGGCCAGGGTGTGACATGGCCTGCTGAGATAAAACAGCAGTCTCTGTGTTTCCACTGATTTCCACAGGACAGACAAAAACAGTCTGGAGACTGTATAGAACATGGCTCTCTGCGATTTCCATATATTGTCATCTTGAGCCACCTAGTGGCACAACATGAACTTTTTCATTTGAAATTGTGTATTTAAACAGAGGAGTTTATGTTTGACTGATTCTCCTAAAAATACACAAACTGAATGCTTTAAGTGAGCAAACAAATTAATTATTTAACCTACTGCATTTATGATGTACTGATTCAGGTTGACGGTGTATCTTAGCATTTTGTACAAAGTGTGTATACATGCATTTTGATGAATAATCTTCAACAGACCAGAAATATCAGTCGGGAATCTGCACAAACTTGTTCCTTCACTGGAACATAGCAGGATGAACTTTTGAGAACGTTCTTTATGTCTTTGCATTTGCAACACAACTCTGTCAGAAATTTAGCTGTTCATGTTTAACACTAATACTCTGGGAACAAATTAAAGTTTCAGGTCATTGATGCATCCAAGAAAAGTTGTTTCTGATTAAGATATACCTAATCTTGTGATTCCACCATTGGCACCAATCAGCTGCTGACGTGCACTGTTGTCTTTCCCTGTGCAGATTCCAGTGGCTCCCCAGTGTGTGACCAGTGCCTTCCCCGGTATAGCGGCCCACACTGTGATGAGTGCAGCTCCGGCTTCTACAGAGCAAAAGGGGCTTGTGTGCCGTGCAACTGCAGTGGGAATGCAGACCCTCAGGGCCCCGCCCAGCTCTGTCACCCTGACACCGGCCACTGCCTCCGCTGCATCAACAACACAATCGGACCCCAGTGCCAGCTCTGTGCTCCTGGCTTCATAGGGGACGCTCAAGCACATAACTGCACCCGTCCAAGTAAGGCCATTAATAGATATATATATTCACATTTTCTGTTTATTGTTTAAATAGCTTGTTCAGACAATGCCAGTTTGCAGACGATAATCCATTGATTATTGAGTGACGTGCTGTCAAAGTTATTCAACTGCTGAAGTAACTGTAGTGTGCAAGTTTGGCAACAGCTCAGAAAACAAATGAACTAATCAACCAAGGTTTACTGAGGGTGCGTGGGGCATTTTAAGAATATTGATTTGAGTTACAGTTACTATCTGTAGCTGTAGAATTGACTAGCTGTAAGTTTACAAAAATGGATCAAAAAGATGATTATTCTTTGTTATTAGTTATTTAAAAATAATAGAAATTTGAATACAAATTCTGAGATAATTAAAGATTTTTGAACAGGCTGTTGCTCTTTCCGCAGTTTGCCTAAGAATTAAGCTTGTGTATGTCCAAGTTCTGTCACAAGTACTGTGATAAGTTAGCTTGATGTTCCTGTGCTGTAAGCCTTACAGACATTTTGTCTTGTCATAGCAGGGAAAGCACAGCGGAAACCAGCAAACACTCTATTTTGTTGAATTGCCACTGTGTGTCCCAAACTACTATTTCTACTACTTCTATTTACAATATACTGCACTGTATTTGCTTTTTGTCATTTGAGTACATGAGCTCTTTAAAAATTAACATCATGTCAACAACAAAAAAACATTATCCATGTAGTTATTTCTACAGCAGTCCTAAAATGTTTTATAATAATTTAATTTTATTGACATGGAAATTGCTGTTTTAAACATTACACATAAACATTTAGCCATTAAACAAACCACCACCACAAAGCAGAAGTCTGACTTTGGGAGTAGCCCCTGACTGCAGTACGCAGATTGACTTTGGAGGCTCAGTTTGAAGGAGATGGGCATTATGTCACATGTTTCTTTGCACAACTGATTTTATGCCACAAGGTGTCGCTAGTTACTTTAGTTATACATTAACCTACAGTCACTGTCTCAATTATTCAGTAACTGCAGGCCTACATTGCTTTGACCTATCAGAATTGTGAATTTTACAAAGTTAAGAACTAAAATCTTTACTTACTCATGAATGTTTTTATGTTTTCTCTCCTCAGCACCCCGACTCATTCCCACACCAGCAAATACAAACACAACCGAGGCCCTCACATCTAGCACATCCTCTCCAGCACGAGGCCTCCCAGCCTCCACATCCAGCAGCAGCAACACTAGCACCGCACTGAGCACAGCCGCCACCACCACCCAGGCTCTGCTGACCAGCCTGAGCAGCCCCACCGACAACACCACAGCAGCCCTGACTGAAGTCTCCTGGACGCAGTTCAACATCATCATCCTGGCTGTCATCATCCTGGTGGTGCTGCTGCTGCTGGGCTTCGTGGGAGGCGTGTACACCTACCGGGAGTATCAGAACCGCAAGCTCAATGCCCCCTTCTGGACCATCGAACTAAAAGAGGACAACATCAGCTTCAGCAGCTACCACGACAGCATTCCCAACGCTGACGTGTCGGGCCTGCTGGAGGACGAGGCCAACGAGGTGGCACCCAATGGCCAGCTGGCACTCACCACGCAGGGAAACTGCTACAAGGCTTAGCACTCCATCCATCCCCCCCAAACCAGACACCTAGATTTACAGATGACACAAAGCTGCTGGAAAGTACCAAATCCAAAGCTCCTATATGTATGACTGCTTGTTGTCACCCTGCTTATCTACAGCATTCACAACACTTGGCAAACTGACAGAGAGATCAAAAATTTGGAAAAGAGAGTTTCCGTTTGAGGCGATTTCCCTTTTTGATATGATTTTGTGTGGAATGGGCGATTAGGGAAAAGGGGTCCAAAGAAGTTTTGTTTGAGTTGTGCCTGTAGAGGGCACAGATTCGTTAGGTAATTGGCATTAGACAGGGGCAAAGCATACACCTGTTTGCTGAAACAATGATCCTGACACTGGTTAGAGAACCTACAGGAGCCTAGCATTTCAGATATTTTTAAAATGGACTTTTGACTGTTTAAGTTATAACTGGATCACTTGTACAGTGATCGTAAACTGAGACAATGATTGTTATTTAATGAATTTTTATTCTGTTCTTATTTATTGGTTGACGTTTCATCCTTGGGAGAAATGCTGCACATGTATGATGTGTTTATTCATGGTGTTTTATCTTATGTGCTGTCAAATGGTAATTTAAATTGGCCAATATGTTTTCATGTATAGTTTGTGTGTTCTGGAGAGAGTCGTAGGGGAAGACAAAGGCTGCTGGCACCAGCATTTTAATGACCTCATTTTTTTGTTTATAGCTTCCTGTTTTTTGTTCAAACGTGCCAGCTTACCTGGAGTATCTAAGAGGAGGGTTTCTTTTAAGAAACTTCAACTGTAGTTTCCCAACTATCCCCATTTGGTTCTTCTACAAGGCAGTGACGCATACTCGGCTTGCATAAAATGCCATAATCTTGTAATCTAATCTGCTCTTTGCTGCCTACCTCAGCAAAATTTGAACAAACAGTTTCAAACGTGCTTCACACTCATGGAGAGGGTTGGTTCTATGACTCATACAATAAGATCCTCTAAATGTGTAAAACATAGAAAGTGTTCCACTGTGGATACTGTTATGGATTGAAACCAGTCTGCAGATGGTAAAAACTAAAAATTCTTTAGCCTACTGGTCCCTGTTATCACTTACAATCAAGTTGCGTCAGTTGGAGCGGTGAGTTGCTGCAAAGTGGATGCACTTCACACCTGATCCTGGACATGGATCCCATGTTTTCTGTGTTATTTAGGCTACCATTGGTTGGGTGTGCTTCTTTTTACCACGGTGAATGAGTAAAGCTAATTATGGAACTAACTCCTCAGGTACTGGCTCTTTCCCTAATGTGATCACTGTAAATATTAATATTGTACAGATCAATGTGAATAGTAGCACTATTATTGTACAGGTAGAATACTGTGTGTACACTGTCACTCAACAAGCTCCTAACCTTTCACTCTCCAGGGTGTGATGTTGCAGTCAGCCCACAGCGTTTTGTATTTTTATTTCTTATTCTCAGTGGACTTTGCCATATCCACATCTGCAGGACTAAGATGCACCCAGAACTAATAACAAAAAATAATTATGTAAATATTACCCCCAAAAGTCAGAGCTCAACTTTCAAATAAAAATGGGTTTAACTGTTGTCTTTGTGTTTCTCACACATTTCTAGCTTAAATCACTGCCACATTTCAAAGATTCCCTCCAGAGAGATGTGACGACATGTAAAGATATTCTGCTTGAAATGACAAATGGTTCAAAGTTCTTCAAAGGTTATTCTCTCCTCCTCTCCCATGAAAAAATATGCACTCTAAATATGCAAATAGTGTTTATTTAAAAGTTTAAGCACAGTGAACAGGAGATTTCAGGATAGAATAGAATTGAATTGAATTAATGGAGTTTTATTGCCATACATGACAGTACAGGCACATTGGAATTATTGTGCATATGCATGAGTCAGCTTCATATACAGGAAAAAATCTAAAAAAAAACAAAATAAAGAAAGGTAAGAGCAGCAGCAACAAAAAGAAAGATACAAATATATATTATAAAAAATAAAGTAGGTGCACAGAATAAAGCAAGTACACAAAAATAAAATAAGTGCACATTATTAAAAAGCACTAAGTATAAAAAAAGTGTTAAAAGTGAATACCCTAAAAGATAATCGCACATATTTTTGTGATATGGGAATTATATTGCACTTCCTGGCTTGTCATATTGCACATGTTGGTTTGAAACAGATGTGAGATGGCCATGGTAATATTGCACATGAATGGACTGCACTTATATAGCGCTTTTCTACCTTTGCGGAACTCAAAGCGCTTTACAATGTGTTTCTCATTCACCCATTCACACACCAATGGTGACAGAGCTGACATGCAAGGCGCTAGCCTGCCATTGGGAGCAACTTCAGGTTCAGTGTCTTGCCCAAGGACACTTCGACTGTGGAGGGGGTGGAGATCGAACCGCCAACCTTACGATCAGAGGACAACTCTACCACCTGAGCCACAGCCGCCCACACGAACAGGGACATTATGTGCGGGGAGATGAGGGGAGGGGTGGTCAGTGAGGGGGTTAGTTGTTAATTGTCCAGAGTGTCTATGGGTTGTGGAATGAGCTACTTCTTCCCCTCCTTAATGTCCTGAGCCACGAGCCTGACAGTGGCTGGAAAAAAGCTGTTGTTTGAGAGGGCCCGTGCTGATGCTTTCACACTTGCAGTGTCTCAGGTTGTAGCCTGAGTCCACCCACCTGAACAGAGGATGAGCTGGATGGTGTTTGTCCCCGAGGATGCTCTGTGTTCTCCTCCTGCAGCCCTGGGTATATATTGTGTCCATGGAGGTCAGAGCCGATGACCCTCTCTGCAGTTTTGATGACTCGCTGCAGCGATTTCCTCTCAGCGAGGGTGGTGTTGCAATCACACATCGCACTCATTCACACTCACCACTGTTTATGAGGAAGTCCGAGATCCAGTTACAGGTGGGTGTTGATACTCCCATGTCTGCCAGCTTAGCAGTCAACTTAGCTTAGCTGTGGACCATGATGGGTTTCCATACCATTGTAGCTGAGATATCACAGAACCCTGCTTGTACACACAAATTCCATACAATTCAGTTTTATCTATGTAGCACCAATTCAACCACCAAACATATGTCATTTCAGTGCACTTCACATAGTAGGACGAAGACCTTACAATATACTATACAGACAAACCCAGCAAATTGAATTATCCTTGGTAACAGTGTAAAGAAGAAAAGAAAAAAAAACCTTTTACAGGAAGAAACCTGCAGCAGCAGCATGCTCAGGGAGGACACCCATCTGCCTCAACTGGTTAGGATGAGGGTTAAGGAGAGAGACAACAGGATAGCAGATGGAAATCACACAATGTATAACAGAACGAAAATGGAGAATGATACTACATTTCCTAACCTGAAGTTACTGCTGCAGGAGATGCATGTGAAAGCAAATTCTGCATATGAATGAAATGAATGAAAAATAATAATTTATTTATCCCAGAAGGGAAATTCAATTCAATATGTGCACTATATGCATGCATAGGGACTTCAAATAAACGATGCATGATTTGTTCTGTCTCATCTACAATAATTGTGTAGATTCCTACACAACTGTTGCTCTATTGGTTACACTAAATGTACAGTGAGGTTTGCACTTGCTCTTACAGGCTGACAGCTGTTACATCACTGCAGCTCTCTATGCTATTGTGGCATTATCTTCACTCCCTCCTACTTTTTATCTGCAGTCTGCTTCATCCACCATTTAAAGTCTATTTCTCAACACAAATACACACTTCTTGTTCCTGACAACATCACAATATTTAACTGCTGACAGCAGATATCTTGTAAAGTTTTTTTGGTGAACATTATTGCACTTTTTTCTAATATGGTCAGAATTATGTGGCAACTTGGGCAAAAAATGCAAGAGCAGTATTTCCTTATGTGGCATGTTTGGTGTTTTTGGGACCTTCCAAGATATGTGAATTTGAGAATTCCTATTAAGAGCATCATGGTTATATGCATTGCTACCAAAAACCAAAGGGTTATAGAGAAATTATAATACTTTAATACATTTGTGCACTTTATCCTGCAAAGCTCTGTCTGTTATCATGGCTATATTTTGCTTGGTGGTTAATATGCTTCTCCAGATGCAAAGCTAACTTGATGGATGAATTTTTCTGTGTTTTGTTATACAGGGAGGTGTGATGTCTTCGACGTCGGTAATGTACAATAAAATAAGAAAGAACTTAATCCTGAAGGAAATTCTTGTGGCAGATACTGTGCAGAAAAATTCACAGCAAGAGCATAAATGCGGTGCCTAACAGAACAACAATAGGATAAATGCAAGCTAAAATAAATCAAGAATAGAAAGATAAAATGAGTAATGCTGGTAATGATGGCTTGTACAGAAATCCACTTATACAGTGTATTGCAACTTTGAATACTTTGATGTTTTTGAGACTGGTGTTGAACAAGGTAGTTTTCTTATTGTAATATTGTATAATGCTTCTAGGAAACGTCATAAGAAAATGTGTCTCGTGATTTATTATGACAAGTGTCTGACTTTGCAGTTTGTCAGGATGTTCGATCTGCAGGTAGGGGAAGGCAACTTTCTGTATGATTTGATATGAAATGTTCCTTCATGAATGAAGTGAAACAGTCCACCGGTCTAATCTGTGCAGCTGTTAGTAGAGGTGTGTGCTTCTTCATCACATCCCAGCTTAAACTGTCCCCCTGTCCTGGTGGGCTTTGTCTTTAACAGTGACTGACATTTTAAAGGTCATGTGACCAGAGACAATATAAATGTGCTCCTCCGAGCCCTGAGTTGGGTGCTTTGGGTGCGCACCGGCTCCCACGACCAAACTAACCAGAGTGTGTCACACAACAAACGAAAAACGAACCCTCAGGAACAGGAAGTTCGAGTCGGTGAAACTCGTTTAAATCGAGACTCCCTGCCGGTGCGGCGGCTCTCAACGTGGGCGACAGAGCAGATAAATGCAGCTGCTGGGTAGGAGCAGGCAGCTGACCCAGAGCCATGGAGGAATACGACTTCTACGAAGTAGGAGGTGAAGAAGAGGCAAGACTTCATCGGCAGAACACTTCGATTCAACTTCTCATTCAGAAAGTGGCTCGACTTTATCGGATGGCTCAGTTTATAGCCGTGGCGCTTCTTCTGCTGATTTCAGGAGCACTGGCTTTACTGATCACCGTGGGACTCGGAGGGCGATGTCACGTGTCCGCGGACCAAAAGGTAACAACACACCTGAACACTCCCTAATCCTTCTTCTGTCGGTGCGGTGCTAGTAAGTAAAAGTTTGAGTGAAAGTGCGCCATCGGTGCCCAGGTGAAGTTCGTTAGGATCATTCTAAGTCAAAGTGTATTTCCCCATACGATCCAAAAGCTACAGTCTTTTTTTTTTTTTTTTTGCAGCGGCGCGGGTTCGATTCCAGCCCTTTTCTGTATGTCATTCCCACGCCGACTGTCCTTCCAGTTTGTCTTCAGCTGTCCCTTTAAAAAAAAAAGAAAAAAAAAAAAGACGTAAAATGGTTGATTTATTAAAGAAAAAAAAGACAACTGAAAGCGAACACAATGGAGCCACATTAAGATTTACTAACAGCCCGGGGCAGTGTTGCACCAGCATAATGCAACATACTAAACATTAAAAACCACGCTGGACACCAAACGTTGTCTGTAGCCACAGCAGCTCGATGCAGGATGGAGTAGCTGGCATTTCAGAGCAGATGTCTGTTCACTGGATAAAGAAAGTTCAAAACGTTTGTTTAATCTTTTCACTATATAAATCTGAAAATGATGTCAACAGCCACAATTAAAAAACAAACAAACAAAAAAAACAAACAAAAAACCCCAACAACAACAAAAAACATTGTTTTCAATAATGAAGTGGTCAATTTTGTTCTATCCAGTGTCAAAGCGAAACATTCTTTAACATGATGTGCCCCTTTATTGTGCACTTTTCTTTTGATCTTGTTTGTTTTTATCCTCTTTCATACACAATTTTTAAAGATAAAAAAAAAAAAAAATCCTACAGCTCTTCCAGTTCAACATCTTTAACACTGTTTTCTATTTGCAGCCTTTAAGCACAACAAAATTCTTGTAACACTACTTTTCTCCCAATATCTGTTCAAGTGTAAAAACATCATGAAGCACTGTTTGCTTCCATATAAGCCAACAACAACATGCATCACTGTTTTCTCTTTATAGCTCTTCCAGATCAACAACCAATTGTAACACTGTTCTCTTTCAGCTCTTCATGTGCAATGACACCATGTTAACACTGGTCTGGCCTTTGAGAACTTCATAACTTCAATAACAAATATTTAGCACTACAATGCTGTACAAAAGTACAATTCTACACACAGTGTGTCCTTTAATTGCATACATCTGCAATTCTGCCATATCTGCACAAATCCACATGTAAACTCATCATGTCATATATGACAAATGTGAATTCATTATGCCATTTGTATCTGTCTGTTGCAGCTAGATATAGATGTAAATTTGTATGTGATCAATACATTTCATCTTATCTTTCCTCTGAATATTTTATAGTTTTCTTTTTATATGTATCACTTTATTGTATTTTTATTTCTTGTATCATTGCTGTTATTTATAACAAATTTCCTTAAGACTGTGTCTGTTTTCTCACAGGCCACGATGATAACCGACAGCAATTCATCAGGTAAATATGTTGCTTAGTGACATGGTGCAATCAAAAGCTGTGTGGATTTCTGGTGAGCAAAAGACGTTATTCATTTGTACAACAGATATGTTTCTGTTGTTGTTACAGGTATCAACAGCCAACGAGGAACTGAAAGATTTCAAGCCAACACAAACATCAAGAATCCAAGTGCAATGTTAACAGGTAAAACATAGTGTATTAGCACAATGCTGCCAGGATTAGAGTTTCACTGCACTTCCCTAGAAAGGCCCTATTTCCTTTCAAAAAAAAAAAAAAAGCAAAAAAACAAACCAGTGAGTTTAGTGAACATATCCAACACAATGTAGATTGTAATAATTCTTATATGCTGGTGTTATAACACATACAAAACAGACTGTATTTTGAGCTGTATAATCATACTATGCACTGTATAGTATACAGTGTATGTCTGTTGCCCACGCAGATCACAGGGGTGTAAAGAAAGCCTCTTAACATGGGAAATGCACTGCAATAATCATAACAGTAATGAATCGCCGCAGGCTTATGACTCACAATTGGTCACACATGAGAAAGCAACAGGTCTTGTCTTACTTGTATGTTTTGTTGGGATGGTCACACTAAGTACTTATCTGCTGTAGTACTCAACTTTGTGTAAAATTAGTAGTATAGTAGTAGTAGTAAACCATGTACAAATGACTTTCCATAAGGTTAGTGTGCACACACTGTGACCTTTAAAGAAAGAACAAAGGGTGTCTTTGTAAGGGCCACTATGAGGCTGCAGACCAGCTGAACAGGCATCTGGAGTGTCTGCAGGTTTTGATTAGAGACAACACTACTAGGTTACTTAGATTAGTTCACTAACTAGTCAAATGAGGCACTGTAGAGTTTATTCATAATATAACTTTGCACACATTTTGCTCTTGATGGCAGATGATTATCTGCTTATACTTTAGTTGTCAGCTTAACAAAAATGTGACATACTTCATGTTATCTAGAAATGATGGACAATCATAAATCTGAGTTTTGTCTTTTTTCTCTGATCCTTAGCTCCAAGAGGAGGTGCCACTGATGGGGAATATCTTCAGTGGGAGAGTGTCATTCCACATGCATTCTGTCAAGGCGGCTTCAGCTACTCCAACGGAAGCCTTGTGGTGCCCAGATCCGGCTACTACAGAGTGTTCGTGCAAGTCACTTACGAGAGTAATGGCGAACAGTGTCCTAAACCTCAGATGATGCTCAACAACAAAGTGCTTTATGTCCCATATAGTTACAATAAGAATGTGACTCTCCTTACCTCAGATGACGTCGTGAGATGTAGCACAGAGCTGTGGCGTAAATCCCTGCATACGTTTGGCTTATTTTTCCTGGAGGCTAATGGCAGGCTACGTGTGACATCAACTTATCCTAAATTTATTGCTAGGAATGAATACCAAGTATTCTTTGGTGCTGAACTTCTTTCTTCCCAGTAAAACGATTGGACAGTCAGAATCACCAAAACATAATCTGAGGTTGTACATTCTCCTCCATGAAAACTTAAGGGAAGATACAGTGTAGTTTTATTGCTTCCTTTTACGATTACTGCTCATGACAAGTATACATTCACAAGTAATTTTTTTAACTGCGAGCAGCTGATAAAGTAACTAACATTATCTGTTTGACTACAGACTTGCTTTGCTCATTTAACTTAAAAGCTGCATTGTTTTTAACTTATTAATAACAGCTCACATAAGTATGCTGCTGTATACACTGATTTAAATATAATACACTATGGGTGTACACTTCTAAACAGCATATATATTATATTTTAAATATAGTAACAGGTAACATTTGTACCTTCACAGCTCTTTAAAAATATGCTACCTTTTTATTTTATATCTTTGGATAATAATAAACATTTTGTCATGATCTTAAGTACAAAACAATTAGTTTAATTAACCATCTGAGCCCCAAAACCCGCCGGCGGGTATTAAGGGCATGTTGTTATTTTAAACTGACCAAAATTACACCATTTTTTACAGTAAGAAATTGTAATAACAGAAAGAATTAATGGATTTTTAACTTTCCAATGCTCTTTGAACTAAGTGAGTGGCTTTCTTTTTTTTCTTTTTTTTTAATGACAAATTCTAAGCTAAAAATCCTTATACTTCCTCCATATCCTTAGATTCTAACCAGATTCTGTAAAAAACAAAACAGTCTTTGTTGCAACTGCGAAGCCATGATTGACTCAGCTGCGACTAACAGTCACAGGACAGAAAATCAGGAACTATTCAGTTGAACTGTAGAGGAGACAAGTATGGAAAGTAAAAATGTGAGAAGTATGGGTAGTGTGTAGAGCCACAATTTTTGAAGAGCCAGCTCTGTGTACTTAGAAAAATATTGTACTGTTGTATTGTCAAAATGAAGAATCGAGAGAATTCAACATTTGTATTTGGCATGTTTTGTAATTTATTTGCATTATAATGTATCATACTTAAGAAAAGACACCTCTGAGTTCTCTCTACTTCTAGCAATAGTAGTGTGTGGGGGGGACCTTGTGTTTTAGGCTGTAATTGTGTCATTTTGGAGAGATATCCTGCACTAAAATGTTGGACAGACTGACTAAGTGATTGGTCTCTGTCTAGACCACAATCATCTGGTTGGGTTTGACATTTAAAACCAATTGTGAATTGGTCATTGCATCTTTTCTTCACTCAGATGAAACATGAGCCAACCACTGTCATTTAAAAAAAGAGACATTACATGGAGCTACTATGTTTAAGTTCTTGGCAATAGAAAACAACTGAGAAAAGTATCTCATCTGTCATTATAGGAGATACTGCAGCACTGAATCTGAATGACAAGACTGCAGAAATATTTAAAGAACAGCATCTAAGGACAGGTTGGCTTGACGAACACTGACATAAAGATGATTGACAAGATGTGGTAATGAAGGATTTTGTGAATGAAAGGAACTTTGACATCATATGAAAGAAGAAGTAACTCGGATAAACAACCAGCATAAAATGCTAACCTGGCTGTACTAGTCAGAACTTTTTGTATGTGCCTTGGAAAGTGTTGCCATAGCCAACTGAACGGGTTTGATAAGGCAGGTTTGAAGAGTAGAAGACTATGCAGTTACCGGCAGGTTATCACACATAAACCCAACCCACACCCACACAGACCTGCTTTCATGATAACATGTTTGAGGTATGTCTAAACTTGCTATAGTTTTATGAAGTAAATATGCTTAAACATGCAGAACTATGTCAAACTGTGTCAAATAGGATAATTTCTCCAAGCTAAACACTCGCAACATGTATGTTTGCAAACGTACCTTTTATGCTGAATGTACTGCAAATGTAAAAAAGACAAATGCAATGTGAGGAACACTTGCCACGGTGCTGTCAGCTCTTGTCTTACAGCTCAGAGCTGCCTTCATTTGTGAATCTAAATGCTCTAAATGCTAAATGCTGTAGATCTGGTGATGGAATACAAAGGGATCAGTAAACCAGTCTTGTTTTTATGCATGAGTGAATTTGACTTCTTTCTCTCTCTTTTTTTTTTTAACCACGATGTTCATTGTAAACAGCGGAAAATATATATCAGGGGTTTCTCTTTTTTCATTTTTACATATAAGTATGCTTATATAGACTTATTTAACAAGCTTAAAGTTTTCTTTTGTTATTTAATTATTTAATGCATTGCTTGTGGGACACCCTGTACTACTTAAGTTGGTGCTATGTGAATTGACTTTTCCTACTTTAAAAGAAATAACATAATTTGTGCACTTTTATATTTCTGTTTGTGTATGAGTGAGTTTCTGAAATAAAACATACTACAAAAACTTCAGACACATGTTTGTTTGTTTTGTTTTTTTATCTTTCAGTGCAGAGCAAAAATATGTGATTTCATATTTGACCTAACTGGTGAATGGTCTAACTCCTGAGATATCTTCTTTAAGATCTTTAATCTATGATATCTTTAATCTGAGATACCTTCTTCAAGATCTTCAATCTATGATTAAATAATAAAGGAGTGAGTCTGTAATTAATCTGTTGTTGTCATATTTCTGTTCAGGCAGGATACAACCATAATACAGATGTTGTAAGGTCCCTGTAGGAATAGTTCCTGTAAATTACTGGCCACAAATGACCACTTACTCACCAATATGAATAACACTGTGAAAGGTTTTCTCCTATTTTGCTCCACCTATCTTACTACTGACTGAGTTTTGTTTCCACAATTATAGAAGGCTTCTAGGCATATGCAGTATGATTAATCTTTCCAGGAGGCCTATTTAGCAAGATGGGGAATCCACAGTAACATGTAATTGTAAATTGCTGACATGGAAACTTCAAGCCCTACAAGGATAAGTGAAAAAGATTTAAACAAGCTATTTGTCAGTGCATTGGGTCATTAAGAAGAGTGTGAATGTGAATGTATTAAAAACATATACAGTCTGTACAATCAATGTGATTAAATAGAAACTAATTATGTGGCTGGGATATTTAATTAAATTCAGTTTTTTTTTTTCCTAAAGCACCAATTTGTAAAATGCCAAGGCCATCTCAAGGCACTTCATCTAGTAAAGTCTTAAACCTTGTAGTGTGTTTCTGTGGTGTTCAGGGCAAAATACGTCAAACTTTAGTTTTGAAAAGTTCAGGTTATCCAAGTCACCATGTCTTAAAGACATGCTTGTAATTTCTCTGAATTGTTTCATCTGGCTTCATAGATAAATATTGCTGGGTGTCATCTGCATAACAATGAAAATGTATGCAATTTTGCCAAATAATATTGCCAAAAGGCAGCATGTACAGGATAAAAAGTGTTGGACCTAACACAGAACTCTGTGGAACTCCATAACTAATCGTTCTGTGCGTCATTATTGCTAGCCCGATTCTTTAGTTGGAAGCCCAAGAACAAACCGGAGAAATCTTCAGTTCACAGACGTAGAATTTATTTAGGTTACAGTGAGGCAGTGCTGGGCTCAGAGTGACAGAGGTCTCGCGAGAACTCTACCAGAAGGAGCCCCAATATCCAGAAATTATTTCGTTCATCTTCTTGGGTTGGGCCTGCCCTGAACAGAGGTTGGACTTGTAGGCAACCGTGGTTAATTGGCCGGTTACTGTGACGTGAACAGGGGTCCGTTTCACAAAGCAGGTTCAACAAACTGTTGAGCCAGATACCTAAATACTTGTAGTTATTGACGAAGTCGATTATAGATCCATCCAAGGAGATGATGTTAATTGGGGAATGGATCTGTGGGAGGTTTCTATTGAAGATCATACATTTTGTTTTTTTTGTATTTAGTGATAACAGATGGTACGCCCTCTGCTGTCAGTTAGTGGCAGTTCTGCCTCCTTCTCTCCTGGTGTGTGGCGGCGTGGCATGACAGGTGGAAGCAGTTCACAATCAGCTGATGAGATCAGCTGGGAGTGATTACCTGCAGCGTCTCCTCAAACGGATAGAAGCCTCTTCCAGACCATGACACGACGCCAGATCGTAAAAACAGCCTTGTTAGTCCTATCTGATCATTTCAGCTCTTCCGTCTGAGTGTTGGCCACATTCTAACCATTTTCTCTGTTCCAGTTGGAGCGCCTGTCTTCCTCTGCCATAACCTGGACAACCTGTCTACTGGATCCCTCCAGCCTTCCACCTGTCTGCCGCTGCCGCTACACCGCCGCTGCCACTCGCCTCTCTCCGTCTGCCTAGAACCCCTCTTCCTCACTATCCAGCCCCGGTCGAGTAATGTGCCTAGCGATGCTAGTTTAAATGACTGTGTTGCTGTTTGTTAGTTAGCCTGTGTGTCAGCAAGCTTTTCTGTCCATTAGTTATCCTTAGTTTGTATGTATCGTGTAATTCAATCAGTTATTCGCTAGCGCTTCGCAGTAGTTTTATTTTTCGGTTTCAATCCTTTCCATGCTCTGTTTACCTTGTTCTGGTTAGCGACTTTAGTTCCTGTAAAACCATTTATTTTATTAAAGAACATGTCTCCTGACTCTGTCGTTGTGCCTTGTTGTCCCGCACCTGAGTCTTTGTCCTGTTCGTAACAACAGAAGGTCTGAGAAGGCATGTTGGATGTTACTGAATGCAGTTTGCAGATTGGACAGTGCATCATTGAGAGAGGGGCTAGATGTATAAACAATGGTATCGTCGGCGTACAGATGAATGTGAGCATTGTCAACAGCTTGGGTTATGTTGTTAATGTAAATGTTGAATAGTGTTGGGCCCAGTATGGAACCTTGGGGGACACCTTAGTGAAGAGGTAGTGGGGCCGTGAGAAGACCCTCCATCCTTATGGACTGTAAGCGCCCAGAACAGTAGCTACTGAACCAGGAGACACAGGTTTCAGAGAGACCAATATTTCTTAGCCTTTCCAGCAAGATGGGGTGGTCAACAGAATCAAAAACTTTAGATAGATCAACAAACACAGCAGCACAGGATTCCTTGTTGTCAAGGGCACAGATAATGTCATTAACCACTTTCATCGTGGCAGTGTTGCAACTGTGGCCTGATCTAAAGCATAATCCTACATCCTAAGCACTGTGTTATTTCCATAATAGATAACAAGCTCATGTAAGACACTCCGTGATGAACTGGATGTGACACATTTTCATT